TCTGAAAGGAGCCATCAGAGTCCCTCTGAGAAGAGATGTCGCAGTCCTTCTGAGAGGAGATGTCGCAGCCCCTCTGAGAGGAGCCATCGCAGTCTCCTTCAGAAAACTCATCACAGTCCCTTAGAGGGGAGAGGACACAGCCCTTTTGAGAGAAGACAGCACAGGCCCTCTGAGAGGAGCGGTCGCAGTTCCTCAGACAGAACTCATTGTAGTCTCTTTGAAAGAAGTGGACACAGGCACTCTGAGAGGAGCAGACACAGTCATTCTGAGGAGAGCCAACACAGCCACTCTGAAAGGGGCCAACATAGTTGGTCTGACAAAACCCATCTCAGTCCCTCTGAGAGAACGCGTCACAGTCCCGCTAAGGAGAGACTCAAGCACAGATCCCCTAGGGAGAGGCTCAGACATAGTCTGTCTAAAGATTGCAAGGGTTACTCAAACACATCTCCTAGGGACCACACACAAAATACTCCAAAGCAGGGCAAGTTTAGAGGCCTGAAGCTAACAGATGAGAAGAGATTCGCCCCCATTATTCATTGACTGGCTCAAGTCTTCACCGAGCTGCCCCTTTCCTGGCTTCTTTCCCGCTCAGCCACTGTCTCCAATACCTGCATCCTCAGCAATCAAAGAGCCTCTACGCCTCTCTACCTGGGGGTAGGGAGGGCGGGAATGGGTCTGTAATTTCTCTAAGATAAATAAAGGGGCAATAATTGATCTCCATCTACAAAGACCACTCGTTGTGCTGGGTGGGGAATGGAGGGTGGAGGGACATTTGGTGTCGTGCAAACGGATGGAACGCGAGTAAGGGGTTCTGAGGCCATGTTGTGGCTCCAAACCCCACCTACAGCTTCCCGGGGCGGGGTCTCAGAGGAGGGAGGCGTGCCACGTGACTCACTCCGGCCGCAGCCCCCTCGGAAACTGCCAGGCGGAAGTAGACGTTCAGACCTGGGATCGGCGGCGCCGACTCCACATCCGGGAGAGGAGAGGAGAGCGGAAGTGGCGTTGGTCTGGCCGGAGCCCTTGGGTGGATTTGTTAGGCGTGGAGAGGGAGTGATGTCTTCCAGACTCGGTGCAGTACCCGCCGTGAGTTTCTCGGTTTGACCGTTATGCTTTAGGGGTAGCGCTGTGGAGCCCGCAACACGCGGTCGCTCGCTTTTGTCCCATGCTCAGAGTTGGTTTTATCAGAGCCCATCGTAGGCCCCACCCTTCTAGGTCAGATCTACCTGTCTCCCTTTCCCCCCCCCACTTACCGCTGACTGTTCCCCACTTCCTTGGACTCAGTTTCTCGCCATATTGCCATTAGTTTCTATTCCTTTTATATCCCCAGTACCTCCCATATCCGTTGTCCTCTCTTTTCGCCTCCCTTTAGAACCTTTATCTGGGACAGAGCTTTGGGAATGGAGATGAAGACTATGGTTTTGTCAGCTGCCTTAACTCTGTAGGAAGACAGGACGACACACTTTTCTTAAAAAGCCTTGCCTTTTTCCGTTCGAGGTAGTTGCCTGGGGAGAGCTTCATTTCTTCTGGGCACAAGGGGATTCATTCGTCTTTTGTGGTCAGGGTTCAGAGGTCCCTAGCATTCACTCATGTGCTTGCGATTTGCTAGACTCCGGAACCCACATCCTTTAAGCAGCAGAGGAGCACGAAGATCGTGGGAGCTAAGAAGTAAGTGAGGTTTTCTGGGATCCATTTATAATTGTGTCGCCAGCGCTGTCCAGTAGAACTTCCTGTGATGATGAGAAAATGTTCTGTATCCGCACTGTCCAGGACCATAGCCACGTATGGCTTTTGAGCGCTTGAAATGTGGCCAGTGTGACTGAGGAACTGAATTTTTAACTGTATTTAATCTTAAATTTAAATAGCCACCTGTAGCTAGTGCCTACCTGATTGGACAATGCAGGTCTAAACCTAATACAGGGGAGAAGAACCTAGCTTGCAAAGAAAAGTACGAATTATATTAAAAATGGAATGTATAACTTAGTGTAGCCCCGCATGTCCTCAGACATCAAATATATACTCATGAATACATTGATGAACATGGGAAGGACTGATAAAAATGGCTGTAAGAAATCCTTTTATTTTCAGACTATTTGGCTTTAAAACTGGTTGTTTATTTCGTACACAACGTGCTAACCTTTTCCATATTAGTACAAAAGAGATTCTTATTAACTAGATATTCATTAAAACGAATAAATTAATTCAGATAACATTTGCTGAGTATCTGTTATGTGCTGTATAACACATATATCTGTTAGATATACAGACAAGAAAAACACAGAATAGTCTAAAAGGGGAGATAGGCAAGTACATCAACATGATTAGGTGTAAGTAAATATTTTTAAACAGGAATTTAATAAAGCATTTGGGGGAAAGGGGGTGATAGTTCAGAAGGGAAGAGTTGCCAGAGCAAGTACTCCTACTAAACAGACTTGAAAATCAAGGAATAATGCAGTTAGCCAGAAGGAAAATGTATTTTTTTATAGAGAACAGAATGTGAACAGGTAAAAGCATTTAATGGAATAGCAAGTGGTTAATTGTTAAAAAATATAAAGATTAACAGGTCCTCATCTATTAATCTGAATCAGAATCATTGGAGTTAGGGCATAGGAATCCTTTTTAACTGACTTTTTAAGAGATTGTGAAGTTTGAGAACCATTGGTGAGAAGTGAGGCTAGAAGAGACTAGAGGATGAAACCCTGGAGAACGTCAGCATTTAAGGATTGGGTAGAATGAACAGAGGCTGCAAAGGAAACTGGGATGAACTGAAATAATTTTCTAATGAAGTCTAAGTAGTTGCACCTAGAGAATGAACTAGGGTCTCTGAAAGATTCTTGGTCGATCAGAAAGGAGCTGAAAATTGGTCAGACTTTTCACTCTTGTGGTTAGAAGCTGAGACCAAAAGGTGTGCCACAGACAACAAATTATAAAGTTACTACGATTATGATCATATTGTTCAAACCAAAGTCTTTTTCTTGCCATATTTATGGAAGGGGAAGTTTAAGATTAATGTGGGTTTTTACAAGCAATCAAGTACCCTCATTTGACAAGTATTGTTTTTGTTGAGTCCTTTAAAAATGAAAGAGACCTATAGGGAGGGATTCCTTAACTACATTGATTTAATTTCCAAGATGTTAATCATACTGATTATATAAACTATTGATATTTATTTATTTATTACTGTTCTTGTACTTATTCATGAGAGGGGATATGGGAATATTTGAGTCCTACACTGACAGTAAAGACATTCCTATGAGGATAGTTTACCAAGAGGAGTCACGTGGGACTTGACTCTTAATGGCCTCTTGATACTATTAAGTCTGGCTAGTAGGCATTGTTCCCATTGTTTTAGATGGTGGGTTTTGGCCCTAGAGGCCTGCCAATTCCTATTAAAAATTTTTAAATACTTTTATTGAGGTATAATTGAAGTACAATAGACTGCAAATTTATAGTATACATATTTAAAGTATACAGTATGGGGCGCCTGGGTGGCTCAGATGGTTAAGTGTCTGCCTTCGGCTCAGATCATGATCCCAGGGGCCTGGGATCGAGTTCCGCATCGGGCTCCTTGCTCAGCAGGGAGTCTGCTGCTCCCTCTCCTTCTGCCTCTCCCCCTGCTTGTTCTCTCTCTGTCTTTCTCGCAAATGAATAAATAAAAATCTTAAAAAAAAATTATACAGTATGACCTACTTTAATGTATGTAAGTAACCATAACTGTCACCACAATCAAGATAACATTTCCATCCCTCTGAAAAAATTTTTTGGGTTCCTTTGCAATCCATTCCTTCCTCTACTCCTGTTCCCAGACACCACTGACCTTTTTTCTTTCTAGGATTTTATATAAATGAAATCATGTAGTATGTTCTCTTTTTGCATGATTTTTTTCACTCAAAATAATGATTTTGGATGAAAATTAATTTTTATTGCTGAACAAAATTTCATTATAGATAACATTATGATTTGTTTAGCCATCTACTTTGATGGATATTTGGGTTATTTTCATTTTGAGGGTATTAAAATGAAGCTGTTATGAACATCCACATACAAGTCTCTGTGTAGAAAAATGTTTTGTTTTGTATTTTCTCTTGATAAATACCTAAGATGGTATTTATTTACTAAGATTTACCATCTTAGGTTGATTGGGTCTTATGTCAGGAGTATGTTTACCTTTTTAAGAAATTGCCTGTTTCCCAAATTGGTGGTATTTTATATTCTTACCAGCAGTGTTTGGGAATAAGTCTTTAATTTTAGCCAATTTTATGGGTATATAGTTGTGTTTCATTGTGATTTTAATTTGCATTTCCCTGACGAATAATGATGTAGAACTTCTGTTCATGTGCTCATTGGCTCATATATCATCTTCTGGGAAGTGCCTGTTCATATCTTTTGCCCATTTAAAAAAATTGAGCTGTTTGTCTTACTATGGAATTGTAGTATTTTTAAAAACTATATTCTGAATACAGTTCCTTTGTCTGATAGATGTGTCTTGAATATTTTCTTCCAGTCTCTGATTTGCATTTCATTTTCTTGATGGTGTGTTTGAAGACCAACAGTTTTGTTATTTGTTATTTTTATTTTTTTAAAGATTTATTTATGTAGTTTAGAGAGAGGGAAAGGGCAGAGGGAGTGAAAGAATCCTGAAGCAGACTCCCTCTTGAACATGGAGCAGCCCAACTTGGGGCTTGATCCCAGGACCCTGAGATCATGACCTGAGCTGAAGCCACTCAACTGACTGAGCCACCTGGGTGCCTTGAAGACCAACAGTTTTATATTCATCATTAAAAATTATTAAAATGTTATTTTTTCCTTTTATGTTTCTTATTTTTGTATTCTATTTGAGAAAACTTTGCCATCCCTAATTGCAAAGATTTTCTGCTTTGTTTTTTTCTAGAAGTTTTCTAGGTTTTACATTTAGGTCTATTGACTTGGTTAGAGTTAATTTTTTGTGGATGGTGTGTTATAAGAGTCAATGTTAATTTCTTTTCATTTTGTATATCCTGTTGTTAAGACTTTCCCTATTCAATTGCCTTGGCACCTTGGTCAGAAATTATTTGAACATATATATGTGTGGGTCTGTTTCTAGACTCCTTATTCTGTTCCATTGATGTATATATCTGTCTTTTTGCCAATACTAAACTGTCTTGATACTGTGGGATTAGAGTGAGTCTTGAAATCAGATAGGGTAAGTCATCTAGCTCTTTTGTTCTTTTTCAAAATTTGTTTAGTTATTCTAGGTTCTTTGTCTCTTTATATAAATTCTGGAATTAGTTTGTCAATTTCTATAAAAAGAAGCATGCTAGAGTATTGATCAGTATATTGTATTGAATCAGATCAGTTTGGGGAGAATTGCCATTTTAACAATACCGAGTTTTCTGACTTATGAGCATGCTATATTTTTCCATTTATTTAGATCCCTAACTTCTCTGTAAGTTTTCATTATGAAAATCTTGGTTATCTTTTGTTAGATTTGTTTTTAGGTTTTTTTTATATTATTGTAAATGACACTATTTTTATAAGTTCATTTCTAGTTGCTTGTTGCTATTATCTCAGTCTAGCCACAGGGTTGTCAATTTTGTTGGTCTTTTCAAAGAACCAGATTTTCTCTGTTGTCTCTTCTAATTCATGAATTTCTCCTTTTCATTATATTTTTCCTTCTATTTA